TATCGGTGTTCCGAGGATTGCCCTGCAGGTACTGAGGGCAATTTCTATCCTCCTCCACCACCATGGCCTCATAAGAGGCATCTGCCTCTAGATTATGCTCCTGCGGTCAATGTGAGCTTATCGTCTGGTATTGGACCCTGAGAGCATGCAGGTGGCTCCGGAGCAGCTTCAGTCTCCAGCCCAGACCCCTTCTAGAGGAGATGTAGGTAGGCTGGTAGCCTGAGTTGATACTGTTGCCTACCATCTGCTGCCCGGTTGGGGAGATTTACTGGCCTCAGACGGAGAGGAAGGCTCACCTCCCAATGTTCCCACACCTGGTTCTGATGTCATGGAGAATCATCCTCTCTCTCCGTCTGAGGACTATACTTCTTAGTCCCAGCTTATTCTTCGCATTGTGAAGGTTTTGGACCTGGCCGTGGAGCAACCTATAGCAAAGAAAGCTTACAAACTATATGAGGATATAGTGACCAGACCCCACCTCTTTGGCTTGGTTTTATACCATCATTATCAGACCTTATGAGAGAGTCTTGGGCTAAACCTTCCTCATCCTATCAGATCCCCAGAAGGGTGGAGAACCTTTATAAGATCTATGGGGAGAATATGGAGTTTCTTTTGAAGCATCCTCTCCCAAACTCCTTTGTGATTGATACCACGCAAAATAGGGTAGGAATTGTTCATCTTCAAAACCAAACAACAAGGAAGGCCACAAGCTGGATGTTATCACCTGATGGATGTATTCTTTGGCCTTCCTTATCCTGAAAGTAGCCAACTACTTGGCCGACATGGGGGCCTACTATCTCCACCTATGGAATTCGGTGCCATGCGTCCTGGAGGTGGCACTTGAAGATGTCCGGGCTCAGGGCCTGGCTTTTCATCACAAGGCTATGGGCCTGGCTCACCAGGAACGTATTGTGGCTAGGCACATTTTGGATGTGGTCTCTAAACAACTGGCCGCAGACGTTTCCCTGTGTCGCCATGCCTGGCTCAGCTCGGCGGGAATTTCTGAGGATGTGAGGGCAAGAATTGAGGACCCGCTGTTTGACGGCATCAGCCAGTTTGATGGGGGGAAAAAGATGAAATTCTTGATAACCTCTTAAAACTTGGTCAGGCCCTGTTCTAGCCAGCACTACCACCCCAGGGGCACCTGGCGCTGACCCTATTCTTCAAGAACCTTCCCAGACACCAGAGACAGCAGCAGACCTCAGGATTTATGTCCTCATCCTATTGGCAATTTGGCAGGCAGTGCCCCCATCAGCAGGCATGCCGTCCGGACCAGAAGGCCAGGCAAACTCTTTGACACATCTCCTTTACCAGCAACAGTAGACCCCTCAGTCCGTCTTCCCCCCTTCCTTCACTCGTGGTGCACTTCAGACTCCTGGGTCCTCTCCATTGTAGCCAGGGACAACGCCTTTGAATTTAACACTTCACTTCTCACAAGCCACCTTAAAACTACCGCCCCCTCTCCTCCTTTGGAAGACGAAATATGAGCCCTTCTTCAGAAGGATGCCATTGTCCATCTGCAGCATCCTGATGTTTCACTTGGGTTTTATTCACGATATTTTACAATTCCAAAAAAGGACAGGGGACTTCGTCCCATCCTTGACCTCCGCAATTTGAACTCCTATATCACTTCCCGGCAGTTTTGTATGGTCTCTTTGAATGCCACCATCCAGATGCTTAGGCAAGGTGACTGGTTCACAGTTATAGATCTGAAGGACACCTATTTTCATATCAGCATTCGATCAGATCACTGCCGGCTTTTTAGATTTTCAGTCGGGGAAGTGACATACGAATTCAAAGCCCTCTCCTCCTTGTCAACCACCCCACGGGTGTTCATAAAGTGCTTAACCTCCATGGCAGCACATTTGCATCTCCAAAGTGTTACCGTTTTTTCTTACTTGGATGACTGGCTGCTGGTAGCGCCATCTGAGGCCCAGGCCAAGCGAGATACAGCACTAACTTTATCTCTGCTATGGACCCTAGGTCTGAAGGTCGATTTGGAGAAGTTGACATTGCATCCCACTCAATGAGATGCTTATATCAGGGCTGTTCTGGATGCTTTGTTGGGTCAAGCCTCACTACCTTTGGGCAGGATTTCAAAGATCCAATTCATGCTACACTCGTTCCTCCAGGAAGCTTGGGAACCAGCCCTTCAAGTTCAGCAGCTGCTTGGCCTCATGCTGTCTAACACAGCCGTGGTACAGCATGCCTCTTTGAAAATGAGGTCACTTCAAGCGTGGTACCTCTCCCTGTTCACTGTAGTGCTCAGTCCTCCGACCAAGCTTCTGCATGTCACTGTTGAACTGGCCACTCAGTTATCCTGGTGCGACCTTCTCCCTAATCTGACAGTAAGAAGGTCCTTTGGCCAGTTGCCCCCCACTATTCAACTAACTACGGCTGCCAGCCCAACAGGTTGAGGTGCACACTTGGAGTCCCTCATGATCCATGGTCTTTGGTCCTTGGCAGAAGCACACCTCCACATCAATCATCTTGAGTGCTTGGCAATTACCAAAGCTTTTCGAGCTTTCAAGCATTTCCTAACTGGTCAAGTGGTCCGGGTTGCAATGGACAACATGATGACAGTATTCTATATCAACAAGCAGGGGGTGCACCCACTCAGTCCCACTGCTCTATGTAGCCATCAATCTCTGGGAGTGGTATTTCGTCCGCCACATCTACCCGGTGGTGGTTCATGTGCCAGCCTGGGGGAATGCCCTGGTGGACCACCTCAGCATGCTCCAGTCCTGTTCTCATGAATGGACCCTATATGACACCATATTTCATTGGATATGCCATTGGTGGGGCACCCCGCAAGGATGTCTTTGCATCATGAGACAACAAGAATTGCAGCCGCTACTGCTCCTGGTCAGTGGTGCGCCAACTCTCCATGGTGGATGCCTTCATGATCGGCTGGTGCTCACACCTGCTCTACATGTTCCCTCCAATCCTGCTTCTGCAAAGAACCATTATAAAGATCTGGCAGGACAACGCAAATGTCATCCTCATATCCTCCTGGTGGCCTTGCCAGCCATGGTTCTTTGTGCTCCGCGACAGGGCGTCAGAATACATTTGCCTGACATCCATTCTCCACCTGTTGACCTGGGACCATGGCAAAATCTTCCATCCAGACTTGGACTCTCTCCACCTGACGGCGTGGAGGCTTCCCTCTCTATAGCTGAAGTTCTCAGTTATGCGCATAAGTGCTCCACTTCCTTGACATATGCGTATACAAGTAAGTGGAAAGCTTTCTGCAAGTTTGTGTTGTCCCGCCACTTACCTGTAAGCCCAGCATCCCCAACGCGGTCCTCCAGTTCCTGCTTCACCTGCTTCGGCGTAGTCTCCCACTGGACTCTAAAGGTGTATATGGCTGCTATAGTGGCCCATTAGCCACCCTCTTCTCACACAGCCTCTCTTTTTCAACACTCCACCTTGAAACAGTTTTTTGTGGGGGCTGAAGAATATGCGCCCAGCCTGTAGGCCTCTCACTCTGCAATGGTCGCGCCTTCTTGTCCTGAACTGAGCAATGAAGCCTCCTTTTGAGCCCTTGGCCACAACATTGGTCCATCTCCTGACCCTGACGACTGCCCTTCTCCTCGCCATCACTTCGGCATGGCGGGCAGGGGAAATAGCAGCCCTGAGAGTGGACCTTTCCTTCCTCAAATTCCATCCTGACAAGGTGACTCTCTACCCAGACCTCTCCGTCCTTCTCAAGGTCTCATCTTATTTTCATTCAAACCAGCCAATTGTGCTGCCTACTTTTTTTCCCCAGCACCTACCTCACCTCTAGAGTGAGCACTGCATTCCCTGGACATTAAATGGGCTTTCTCCTATTATGTTGCTTGCACCTCACCTTTCCGCACCTCATAGAGACTCTTTGTGGCCTTCCAAGGCACTTCTAAGGGTGCACCGGTCAGCTCCCAGACCATCTCCAGATGGATCGTTTCTGCCATATGCCTCGCATACAAACTGGCTGAGGTACCACTACCAGATACAGTTAAAGCTCACTCGATGAGAGCCATGGCCTTCAATGACATTTCTCAGAGGAGTGGACCTTGCTGACATCTGCGCCTCTTCAATGGCATTCCTCAGAGGAGTGGACCTTGCTGACATCTGCAGAACCTCCACCTGGGCTACACTGTCAACCTTTGCATCTCACTACCATCTTGATGTGCAAGCCAAGGCTGAAGCTACAGTGGGTCAGGCTTTCCTGGCCTCTGTTCTCTTGTGACGTCCCTCTTCCGGGTAAGTCAGCTTGCTAGTCACCTATTAGTGTGCATTCACAGAGAACTCTGATTCTTCGAATGGTCATCTGTGAATTCACACTCCCCGCCCTTCCTCCCCGCTGTTGTCATGTGAGCCTTTCACGTGCTGTGCAGCGGGAGGTGGTTCTAAGGAACTGAGGCAGTCGGTGCAGGGGGTGGGGTTAAGGGCAGCGTGTGGGAGGTCCCGGCACCATGTGCTTGCGCTCTGGAATATTCCAAGGCTGCTACACGCAAGCGCAGATTAACCCATTAGTGTGAATTCACAGATGACCACTCGAAGAACCAGAGTTACAGGTAACTGAGAGGCAGTGGAAGACAGGAGGGCCTGGCGTGCTCTGGTCCATGGGGTCATGAAGAGACGGACATGACTAAACAAGTAAACAACAACCACTTTTTCTGAGCATGTTGCAAGTTCCTTTCTCTCACTGCAGAATAACTACAGCTCAGTGCTGAAATAGGGAGGGGACGGCCCCTTTAGGTCCTCTCCTTTGGACGCTGAATAAAACTGGAAAGAGTAGTTGGAGATGCTGCTTGCAGGCTTCATTAAGGTCCTCCTAGTTTGCCCCTGCCCTGCTCCCAATAAGCCACAAAGCCATGCCTGCAAGTGAGGAGGAAATCCAGTACATTTGGGTTCTGTCCTTCCTGTATTGTAGGCTGATTTCGTACTTTTATTTCTCTCATAGGGAAGTTCATAGGATTTGAGCAATACCAAAGTTCTGGAAGCCTCAGGCATGAGGAGACATTTGAGTCCAGCTGGTCAGATGACTTGGACCAGGCAGATGAGGAGGAGAAGCGGTTTTGCACCTTGCTGGAACAACTTGAAACATCCCAGGTTTTTGAAGAGTAGGTTAGAATTCTCTGGCTTGTGCTGCTTCCTCTTAATCCTGATAACAAACATTGCTGTCATCTTTGATGAACCCACCTTCAGATACACTGCTCTGGTGTTCTGAATTGATGTCACCTTTATTCAGTTCATGGTCTGTTCTCCTGTAATAGAGCTGAGAAGTCCTTAGCGGTCCAAATGATATGGATTTCAATTCTCAGGAGCCACAGATGCCATTGTCATGGATGAGAAACTGTGAAAGTAATGGTATAAAATCTGGGGAAGATGGAGCAGCTGGAGGGCCAAAGGTTCTCCATCCTCTGGTAGAAGGTTGCAAGCTACTGTTCATAATGCATTCCACCCCCACCCCCCAAATGGTTTTTTAGTGACTGAATGCAAAACCCAAAAATTATGGTGCAGATTGAATGATGAGAAAGAAAGGATTTGAGCCATTAACTTGATATGGCTAAAAATACAAAAGGAAAAGAAAAAACACATTGAAGAGAGTTTTTGAAACAGAGATTGCATGTTCAGAAAAACCTTGAGCCAAAGGATACAAATCGTTTCTTCAGCCCCTTGACGAATCACTTCTGTTCTTGTTGCCTGAATTTTCCTGGCAATGTGTGTGCACGTGCACACACTCTCTCAAAAATTAATCATAGGAATTTATTTTTGAAAACACTATATAAGTATTTAAATTCTGTTGCTTATTTTTCCTCCAGTCAGAGCGAGATCCAGGAATTTTGGGCCCGTCTCCGGAAAGAGCAGCCAGAACTCCTGGCTAGTTTTGAAGAATTCCTCTTCCGCATTTCCTCATACATCAGAGACATACACCAAGAGAAGGAATCCATGGAGCTGGCATTAAAACGGTAGGAAATATAACTGCCTTCACATAACCTTTTATGGCCTGCATTCATTTCCTCAAAGGCAGCCTCATACCTTTTGACTTTCTGTCTCCTTACATTCCTCTCCCCTGTACACTGAGTGCCTGCTGGGCGGTTTATATTACTTTATGGTGGAGAACAGGAGACAGATCATTTCATTAGGGTTGGCAAAGGACATTTTGCTGTCTGAATTAGATCAGTAAAAGGCATTGGCTTCCCTCGTCATCTGCTGAAATCAAGGTGTGCCATACATAAGCCAGCTAATTTATTTAATCATGTGAGGTAGGAAAACCTGCAAGATCTTATTCCCCACCTGGCCAAAAAAATAAAAAGTACTAACAAATATAAAAACTAATAATTTGCTGCCTCAGGTGGCCACTTCATTTCACCTAATGATAGATCCAACTCTGCATTTCAGCAAAACGGTTATGACACTGGCTGCTCTTGAATAGTCTTTAAGACCAACCGAAGCTGAGGATGGGATGGAAAGGATGTATAGGCATAAACAGATCTGTGGACCGAGAAGATGGATATGATGGTATCAGCACTGAAAACATTAGTATTAATTTACTATTTAGTACTTACCATTAGAGATGGGGGTATCCGTATACAAATATCCCTCACAGGTGCAGACAGCGAGGGTTTGGCCTCCTGGGGCCAGAATGACCACTCACCGTTCCGCCACTGCCGTGAGCTGCGCAGTCCCTTCCTATCACTCCGTTGCTCGCGATGGATTAGCCACTCCTGGCAGAAGGCGGGATGACGAGCCTCTCTGCCACGTCAAAGAGTGGCTAATCCCCCACGAGCTCTGGAGCAATAAGAAGGGACCATGGAGCTCACGGCAGTGGCGAGAACGGTGGGTGGTCAGTCTGGTCCCACAGGGCCAGACCCTCCTTATCTGCACCTGTGCGGGGATATTTGTATTCGTATGCAAATGCGAATAGCCCCATCTCTACTTACCATCTTTCCCTTGTTTCCTTGTGGTAAGTATGGGAGGTAACAGAAGATTGCTACAGTAAAGGAATTGTTGGATTAAGGTATGGCCTTTTGGAACTGACATCAACATTGATTAGTTAACTTTTTGGTGAAAGACTATAGATTAAAATGTTAACATTCATTCAAAAATGGTGTTCCCATGTCAAGTTTTTCAATATTGAACTTGAAATGGAGCCAAATGGAAACTGCCACAATTTATTTGCAGACAAAGTAGATTGAACCTATTACATTATGGGTATTGTATATATGATCATATTCTTTAAAATGCTATACTTATGGGAAGGTTGCTTAAAGTCTGTCCTGAAACAATATTATGCACACTAATAGCTGCTATCAATGAGTTACTTTTCCAAAAATGCTCTCTATGTAGCAGCTGTTTGAACCCTGCTGGTGTTTTGTAGTGCCAGTAAATTGCTATATCTGCTAGTGTTTCTGAAGACATACTTCATGGTAGTTGTGATGCATGTATTTTTTCCAGTATGGTAGCTACAGTATACATTTTATGTTATTTGATTTGAGCTTCTTAATGTATTGATGTTGTTTTATTTTGTTACTTTGTTGTTCTGTCTAGTTGTTGAAACCATCCAGAGCGGCTTTGGCTGCCACATGGGCGGTGTGTGTGAGAGTGAGTGAATGAATGAATAAATACATGTTAGCAAAAACAACAGAAAGGTTATGACATCAAAAATACGAACACTTAAATTTAGGTGGATTGCACACTGCTTGTTTAACTTAATTAATTTTTAGCTTAGTAGGTAGGCGGGAGCTGTATGGAGAGAGAAATTCAAATAGTATGAAGCTACACTTCATGCATTTAATGAAATAAGTTATACACCACAAAAGCTTATGTGAATTAAAATGTGGTGGTCTTCAAGGCACCATAGGACTCTGCTATATTGAAAGAGGAAGGTTTTTTTTTCCCTTTTGCTTTCCCTACGTATCTTTTCCTTACTCTTTCTACATGTATTTTTCACTCCCTGTTTTCTTTGCTCTGTGCTTCCAGGAGGGAGGCAGACCATGACAGAGAAATCAGGTGCCTTTATGAAGAAATGGAACAACAAATTAAAGCTGAAAGGGAACAGCTGCTCTGCCAGGTAAACTTTCCTTCACACTCCGGAATGGGGATCTTGAGGAGGTCACTTACAGCTCAATTACTGAATCATTGAGCCACATCCTGGATTACTCCTGCAAAGTTTCCAAAATCCTGGGGAATTGCTGCTTTGAAGACCCTGGAGGAAGAACATAAAACCCATTCATCTGCTTTTTGCAGGAATCACTGAGGCATGACAAGAGCAGCCTGCTTCAGAAAGAGCTCCGGAGCAAAGAACAAGAATTTGAGAAATTGCTCTACCATCAGAAAAAGGTGATTTGGGGCTCATCCTTGCAAGTGGATTTATCCCTTTCAGTGAGGGGAGAGCTATCAATACTAAAAGCCACAGGTGGCCAAAGTGTGGCCCTCCAGGTGTTTTAGGAGAGCCGTTCCCGTGATCCTTCACCATGGACTGTGCTGGCTAGGACCGATAGGAGCTATGGTCCAGCAGCAGCTGGAGGGCTCTAGACTTTACCCTATGCTGCAGTAAGATGTTGGCTTGAGCCCCACAAGGGAAATGAGTCCACATACTGAGGAGGGGTCCTTGTGTGCACAGCTGATGCAGATGGGCACTGTGTCCATCTGGATCCCATTCAGCTGGCTGACCATAACCCATAGATGAACTGCTTCAGGGGATGGCAAGAAGTTTCTTTGTTCTTTCCATTGTACAGGCACCAGAGGAGTGGGCATGAGCTGTTACGTCAGAGCTAGGACAGCTTTAGCCTTCTGAAGATTATGTTCCTTCAAAGTAATCTCTGAGGGAAGTACATACCACCAGTGGTTGGGGGCAACAACCCACAAATAAGCAGGACTCCTCCATCAACTCTCTGTCCAGCAGGTTGCCAAGGGAGAGACAGAGCACTGTTCCTAGAGATATGAACTAATCTCTTGCAGAAAGCTTTTAAGATGAGGCCAAGAACTGTAGATCGCCCACAAGGAAATATTTTTATTGTGTGGGTAGCAAATAATTGCTCTGAGAGGTTCCTTGCCCTGGGTTGGAGATGCCTGTAACAATATACTCCTGATTGTTCACTGGCTTCCTGAGAATTAAGGGTCTGCATGGCATCGTGCTTCTGACTCTTCTGTATAGATTGGATGCAGCAAGTTTCTTAAAATGTTCCTGTGCTGTGCTGTGTCAGGCTCCTTCAAGGTTTGAAGATTTATCTGCGAAGCTTCTTTTGAATTAAACTTGCCTAATGTCCTGATTTAACCTCTAAACTCATAAGTTAAGAATATTTCCAACAGCACTCTCAATGTTTTAGTTCCAGCCAGGTGGGTCCATTGCTATCCTGAAAGAGAACCCTATCAGCTTCTATTTATACATCTCATTATCTCAGGGTTACATCCTCCCAAAAGAACGCAAGGAGAGATAAAGCAATGCCCTTTGCTTTATCAGTGTTGCCTGGCTCACTCTTATGTCAGTATTTGCTCAGGGTTGTTCAAAAGTTAAAGGGCATTTATGTTAGGGTAAAACATCAGAGAGGAGATTAAGCAATCTATATGGAGAGTGTTCTCAATTCATGACTGAGTTTTCCTTGTACTCTTAACTCTTCTTCATTGCTGAGGGCGGGAGGAGAAGAGGGATTCTTTCATCCGCTTCTGACTTGAGAATGATGAAACCCTTAAATTATGAATTTATTTGATACCCCTGAGCTATTCCTGGTCTCAATCTTAGTTCCCCAGTCAAACTGTTGGGAGGTGACAGGATGTGACAGGAGTTATGGTGGAAACATCTGGAGACCTCCAGGTTGGAGAAGATTATTCAAAAGGTGATGATTTCAGAGCATGGCAGTAACTAGTTTAAAATCATGGTTTGCTTGTCAGTGGAGATTTGGTAAGTCAACTCCTCCATGAGTGCCATTGATTCAAATGGGCCTACTCTTATTGCAACCTAACTACACTAAGCAATGGGACAGCAAAACGCTGTTTTAACCATGTTTAGGTATAATGGCAATTAAATATTTGGGAGGTCTTGGAACTATAAGTGTAACTGATTACTTCTAAAAAGTAATGTCCTAAGATCTGCAACTAGTCCACTAGAATTGTGGTAGTTACATCTCATGTGTTTCTAGATACTGTATTATGTTGTTTTGCTGGAAGAAGTCTGCTATGGCTCTCCTAGCTTCAAAAGAAAACTTCCAGTTGAGGTGGGTGTTTGCTCCTATGTTCACTTCAAAGGACTGATGGCTCTGGTTGGCTCTAAGCTTGAAACGATGCCTGCTGGCTTATCTGAAGAAAGAACTCTGTATTTGGGAATTTCTGTGTCCTGTAAGACACAGTGTGCTACACTGACAATTTGCCTTGTCTCTGTAAAAGAGGTGTTTTTCTGTGTCCCCTCTGGGAGCTTCTTCTCATTTTTTAATACTTTTACTTTTAATAATGTTTATTCTCTCTCAACACAGCTTGAGGCTGCATTACGATTATGGTTTGTGACCTCTTTGTGCTATTGATTTTAATTATAATTTTTTCTCTCTCTCAACCTCTTCCACACCACACATACATATTCTAGCTGGAACATCAGTTACAGTCCCAGACATCTGAGCAGCTGGAGATGCGGGTACAAAATGAGAGGCTCCGGATTGTGAATGAAAATCTCCTGGACCAGCTGGAGAGAAGCAAGTGGGAGCTGGAGATAGCCCGAAGTCACCTGCAGCAGCTACAGAAAGCAGCCCAGCAGGAGCAGGAGCAGAAGGACAGGCATGTTAGGGTGGGGCTGGAGAACCTGCAGTCAGAAGCATCACTGTATTGTGGCACAGAGCTGGTTTACGCCAGTGACTTAAATGGGTGTGTATCCTGAAATGTGGGAGGTAATTGCTGTGACCTGTGGCTGCCGCAAATGGATACAGTCTGTAAGCACAAGTATCTTCCAGCAGCTTATGAGAGTTCCTGAGTTAGAGCCTTTGAAAATGCATGCTGTTTTTCTTTCTTTGTCACAATCTAATGGTTGCACAGGGAGTAATACATTTTCCTACCACTAGTAATGAAAATCTGTTCAAGTTATATTCTCTAAAAGGCGCTGAAGAAATTGGCTTGGATAGTAAGCACTGCAGCACTTGAATTTAAAACTCTTGAATTGTCAAAACCTACAGTCCATAGCAGTCCTGGAGCAAAACAGTGCTGGAAATGCCAAGTGTTTACTGTATCTCAAAAGCCATCAACCAGGTTAATGGTTCAAAAGTGTATGACAGCGTTTGAAACAAGTCACAGCTACAGTTCAATTAATCCTGAAATTTGCTTTCTTGGATAGAGTACAAGAAAGAAAAAAACCCTTGGATAGTTTGTTTGTTTGTTTTTTGTACTGGGTTAGCCAAAACCTGTCTTCAGTCATAAATAGACATTTAGCCCTAACGGTTTATATAATAACAGCTAGAGCATGAAAAAGTTACTTTTTTGTAATGCAGCTCCCAGCGACCATGTAGAGCTCATGTACCTCAACTGCTAGTGTGCTACCGCTCAAATGATAATGACCCTTAAGCCCCTAGACCACGTTGGATTGTTCCTGTCACATACCAAGGCAAAGAACCAGTGTTTTCTTTTACACTCCTGTTAGAACTGTGCCCGAGCTAAAGGTTTACTTCACACAGCCCTTGTGAAAGTGTGAATGCTTTTGGTGAAACAGCCTTATTTACTTTGTTGATATTACACAAATCATGTGTCCTAGCACTGGCCAGCAATGTACATGGTATTACTCCTTTTGGTTTCTATTTATAAAATAATTAGGAAGGTTTATAAAGCAAATGCAAATGCAAAAAAATTAAAAATAAAATAGAAACATGAAGCAAAAAGTGGGTTCAGTGAACAGAGAATAATAAAATACAAGAAAAAGTTTTCAGGGTGCCAATTTTATCAGAATCTCTTTAGCTGGGAACCTCAAGCCCAATCAGCTTGCAGTTTCATTCAAAAACATTCTTGTACACTTCCCAACTGTCATAACACATCCCACATACAATTAATGGGCCCAGATGCTTAACATGCAAGCAAACCAGTAAACAAATATATGTGCTATACAAAATTGTCATGCACTGTGATTAGTAGGTATTTTGGCAGAAGATTCTTAGAAAGGTAGTCAAATGAGTAATAACTGTTCCAAGCTCTGAACAGTGTTTCAGTAAATAGCGAAAGAGATCTTGTATTAGGCCACTGCAAAGTAGGACCAAAATCTGCCCTTAATATCAGAATCTGCCCCTAAAACTTGTTAATTTATTTAGACAAAAGCCCAGACCCCATTGGTGCCAGGAGATTTAGCACTTTGGTCGTATTATCAGCATTTTCAAAGGACAAACATATCACCCTTAATTTTCTACGATTTCCTCCTTTCTTCCTGTTAACCCAGGGATGTATTTCGAGTCTCTAAAAATATGCAAAAAGAAAAACAAAGCCTCTTGCGACAACTGGAACTGCTCAGGTGAGGAGACCGTCTGCAAGATTCTTTCGATGTCTGTGAGGATATGTTCGTTTGTTTAGTGAGGTAGATAGCGGAATAAGGAAGCCCAGATGTTAGTTCAGTTTGGGGACAATTAGATACAATACTAGGTAGCAACAGACCTGCGATTGAATTTTCCACAAAAAGAGAAAAAGGAAAAAAAAGGGAGGATGGGACTGAACGGTGTGGCTTTGAATTGAAAGTATGATGTTGGGGCGACACCTACCCCCATGCTTTTTCTTATGAAAACCTATTTTTTTCCTTCCCAGCAGAACAAATAGTATCTTTGAAAGTAGGGGTTTAACCTCGGGGAGAGGGGAGTGAGACAGTGAGAAACAGTTAAATCTTCACTCTGCAGTGCTGCAGTCTCAATCTGAATATGAGAAGGGTAATAAAAACAAGGAAGCAACTTGTACAGTAATTCTCCCACAAGGAAAAGTTACCACGCTTGGGGCTGTTTATTTTTAAAGTTGGGTAAAAATTACGGTAGTGGTACAATGTATCAGAAATAATGCATGGTATGAGGAAAGCTGACATAGAGAAGCTTTTCTCCTTTTTATTAATACCAGAAGCTGAGGGTGAATGGTGGACGATTCAGGTCTGAGAAGAAGAAATACTTTTTCACCCAGGGCTTATTTAACTGTGGAATTTGTCATTAAAATGTTTAAGGTGACTACCACAAATTACAGTGGTGCCTCGCACAACGAGTGCCTCACACAATGATGAATTCACACAACGATGCCTTTTTCTGTTAAATTTGCTGCCTCACACAGCGATGTTTCCTATGGGGGATTTTCACACAACGATCTCCCTTTTTGCTCCTGTAAAAGTGTCTTACAATGTTTGTACACTGTTTTAAATGATTGCAATGGTTAGTCCACCTCCTGAAACCTATGCAAACTGATTTTGGTGTTGTTCTGACACTTCATTAATTTATGATGATTTTTTGTTTTTTCCATTGGAAACCATTAGACAGACCATCCAATGGTTTCCAATGGAGAAAATTCAAAAAATCATCATAAATTAACGAAGTGTCAGAACAACACCAAAATCAGTTTGCATAGGTTTCAGGAAGTGGACTAACCATTGCAATCATTTAAAACAGCGTCCAAACATTGTAAGACACTTTTACAGGAGCGAAAAAGGACTTTGCAAAGGCATTGAAATGTATTGAGTCGGCTTCAATACATTCCAATATAGGAAACATTGTTTCACTCAACAATGTTTCCTATGGGGATTTTCACTGAACGATGGCAATCCGTTCCAATTGGAACGGATTAACCGGTTTTCAATGCATTCCTATGTGAAATGGTGTTTCACAAAACGATGTTTCACACAACATTGATTTTTTTTGGAACCAATTAACATCGTTGTGTGAGGCACCACTGTACTTATCTGTGTTTCGTTTTCCTCTCGAACAGGGAGATGAACAAGAAGCTGCGAGATGAGCGAGATGCCTTTGAAGCCAAGAAGCTGGTTAGTCTGAGAAAGAAAATCCTAATTCCCAGTCACTTCTCCTTTGCCTGCTGCTGTTGCTGCCATCACCTGGGGTCATTTCATTTCCATGGGGGACATTGACTCAGGTGTCTTGTGTTGCTTAGTTCCTGCTCATGGACATGTTTTGTATCTCTGACTGAGGAAAAAAAAAACCCACCTCTGTAGGTATCTCTAAACTGAGAGGAAGCAGGCCATTACAGGGAGCTACTAGAGGTTGCCTGCTCCGGAGGACTGTACAGGAAAGAGTCAGTAACTGTTCATTCCTTGGGCCTGGAGGGCAGGGAGACTCTTTGCCACATTTGAAGCCTCATGCGCTAGGGATGGCATACAGAGGAAGCTTAGTTGGATCTCAGTGCTCAAAGCTGCATTGTGGTCATTTAGCTCTGGGAATGCTGTGTGGTATTCTTTTTCTTCCTATCCCTACCTCCGCAAGAACCCATTTCTGCAAGGCCCATGCCTCAAACTGGCCTGTGGACACCAGTTGTGCCTTCCGGTTCTTTCCCCATAGCAGCCTGTCAGCAGGGAGTCCTTCCAGGCAGCAGGTGCTGGATGGGAGAAAGAATTCAACAAGGTGTTGGAGGGCAGATCTATGTGTGTCACTTGGCAGGTCCTACGCCCTCTCCAGTGGCCCCCTTCTGTCTTCAGATGCGGAGGAAGATGCTGTCCCATCATTAGTGCTGAAGTGAGATTCCACTACCAGTCATACCAGCTTCAGAAATGTTTTGGGCTAGCTCTGCTTGTATCATACCAGCTTTGGGGCACAGTGTTGTGACTGGCATCAGAAATGTTTTGGGCTAGCTCTGCTTGTGGATATACTTTGGGTTTCCACTATCACTTAGCCCACCATTTCAAAAATAAAATTATCCCTGTCTGTCTCTTTCTTGGACCTATGCCTGCAATGGGATTCACCTCCCCTTAACAACAAATACGTAGGCATGTACAAGGTGGACTAGGCAATAAGATGTAATGTCTGTAAAATGTACTGTGTAGTAGAGTCCAGTACTGTATAAAAATGTGTCCAAAATGTGAAGGTGAGCCAAAAGGAGGCATCTTTGTTTCCACTGAAGGATATGCTTCTTGCTGCTGATTTGCCTGGCTCATGAATGAAGAACAATAATAAAATATAAAAGCAAGGAACTGCTTTTTTTAAAAAAACTAAGAGTTCTAGTCTGTTACTCTGTATAAGAACAAGCTTCAAGCATCTTGTGGAAACTTAGTGATTTATTCGAGCTGCAAAGTAAGCATTTTTGTGTGTATGCAAGGATATTTCCAACGTAATGTATTGTTTTTCTGTGTGACTGTGTGATGGAGCAATCCTTTGTATATTTGAATGTTCCACTCCTCAATTCTGTGATTACGAAGCCTGTGAATGCATCTCCAGATAAACTGCAGTGAGGGGAGACAAATGTGTAACCTCCCCATACACAGCTTGAACATTTTACTTTTGTTTATTTGATTTTTCCCCCTTTATTTGCTATAACTTTCAGAGTGTCCCAAAGGGGATTCTAAGAGTTCTGGTTGAAAACAGCAAGTGCCCACATGTTGTTCCTATAGTAAATATAGATTGCAAGCTGTCTCTTTTTCTGCTTTTGGGATTTTTCCATGTGATCATAGCCTGCCAGGGCACTGTAATCATCTGCCCATTCAAAACGGTTCCAAAACATTAAATCCAAGGTTCCTAAAATAGACCTGCTGAAATCAGTGGAGTTTTAAGCTGAGACTAGGAAATTGGGATGTCCCATTCATTTCAATAGGTCTAATTTAGGTACAACTACAGTTGGATTTATCCACAGTTCTTGTGAGCTTAAATCAGGGCATGCCCAGACAAGGGATGAATAGAATCATGCACATGTGAGCTTCAGTAACCTACTCCCAAATCAATGTAATGATCCTTAGAAAATGGTGATACTGTCACATGCTCCCTCTTTGTCCTTGCTCATGGGTTAAACCGAAAACGGTTACGCTGGAATGGCCCAGAGGAAAATAGAGAGAGAATGAAGAAGGGCAACAGTTCTTGGAAGTGCTTGGCAACACCTTGTTATCCACTCTCCTCCCCCCCTCGCCGCCACTTCAGCCCAGCTGCTGCTCTCTTCATTTTGTGAAGTGCTCATTTGTGCACACAATTACATGAGGTATGGCAAAGAGAACTTTGGAAGGAGTAGGACGTTTACTGTCAATGGTCTTAGACTGGGGATCAGCTCCTCTAGCAGCTATTCTTCAGTAATCCAGTGGCAGCTGTCAATAACTTTTAGTTTTGGTGGCTACATAATGAGCTAAACCCAGTATTTGTCCTCCTTATAGTTGATTCCCTGGGCAAAATCCTGTTTTGTAAATTTACACAGTCATAAACTTGATCCAGGCACCAGAAATAATTGAATTTAATTAAAAGCTTCCTATCCTCCCCTGTGCTGCAGGGTCAGAAGACCAGCAGTTGTAAGATCAAAGCCATGCGACGGAATGAGCTCCTGTTGCTTTGTCCCCGCTCCTCGCCAACCTAGCAGTTTGAAAGCATGTAAATGCGAGTAGATAAATAGGTACCACTTTGGTGGGAAGGTAAAACAGTGTTCCCTAGTCACGCTGGCCACGTGACAATGGAAACTGTCTTTGGACAAGCGCTGGCTCTACGTCTTGAAAACAGGATGAACACTGCCCCCTAGAATTGGACACGACTGGACTAAGAATGTCAAGGGAACCTTTACCTTTACCTTTATCCCCCCCTTCCAGGTTCTGAGGCTCCTAGGGCTCATTTTGCCCTCAGGAAGCCTTTGGGAGCTTTGGGATGTGGGGAGAAGAAGCCTTTCATAGTCAGAAATTGCTGTCAGATCACCATCATGTAACTGATCCTGTTGTAGCTGCAGAATCAGTCACGCCATGAACAACCTGGGAAAGGATAGAACCACTTGCATGGTTATCATTGGCTGTTGAAATCAGTGGGACTTAAATTAGATATGTCACGAGTAGTTTAAGTTCTATTGATTTCAATCAAACTAACATAACTAATTTCCTTAAGATGCAGCCCATTTTAGTATCTCTTTTATTTTTGTTTGCACCAATTTTACTGCCTTGTGTATTTGCAGTTGGATGCTTCCTTGAGCCTGGAAGAGACGCGGTACAAATGTTTTTATAGTAAATACATGTGCATAGAATCTGCCCTAAATGAGCTTAACCTTTTATTTCGTGAGCTGGATGCAGCCACAATGTGTATGTGTGTATGTGTTTTAAGCTGAGCTGTCTTCCAAAAGACATGGTTGTTTTTGCTACAGTAACTGAAGCCCCCCCCATAGGTACTTTCCTGTAGGAACTCCAGCCGCATGGAAGAAATGGCTATATTGACCATTGCAAATAAATGTTAAAACATTATGATATCTCTAGCTGAAGTACACAAGAGCAGGAAGCCAAGTCAGAAAGGTGAAAAATCAAGATGACAACAACTGGTTTATCTCAACCTATATATCTGTACACCTCTTTGCCTATCAACACACATCCTATTGACACCTGATTGTGTCATCATGTGATATACAAGGATACTTTCACAAAAAGAATACATAGAAAGTATGTTCGGTGAAGAAGGAAATGGATAATGTACAGTTGATGATGCTACTTGGTAAAGAAAAGTGCCTGAAAGTTGTTCCAGCCGCATTAAACAGGAAGTAAAGAAGGAAGAAATGTCTGCTGGTGCAGCAACACACCTGTGATTCACAAAAGCCTCTGTCTAAAAACATGTATGTTTCTTTCACTCTCTCTCTCTCTTTTCCAAGATTGCAATGCTGGCGCATGAGTCTTTTGCCTCTATTTCTGCAGCTCTTTAAAGCAGTTGACAGCACTAGATAGCTCTTCCAAACTTACCCCCATGACAAGCATCTGTACGCTCTTCTAAACTTCTGCAAATAAGAACAGAGATCTTTGTACCCATTTAAAAAAGGGAGTGCATCAATATGTCCACCACCTACAGTCCAGTAGTCATCTGAGCTGAAGTGAACCAGAGCTTAGCAAAGATATAGAATCATAGAATAATGGATTTGGAAGGGGCTATAAGGCCATTGGGTCCAACTCCCTGTTCAATGGAGGAATCCAAATCAAAGCAGATCTGACAAGACAATTGTTTTACTTTCTCTTGAATGCCTCTAGCAGTGAAGTGGTAACTGCTTCCCATAGTAATTGGTTCCATTGCTGTCCTGCTCTAACAGCTAGGATGTTTTCCCTGATATTCTACCCAAGTCTGGCTTTCTGTAGCTTGAGCCCATTATTACATGTTCGGAACTATAGCTCCCAGTGTCTGCCAGTGATTCAGGGAGTTGTATGCAAAAGCAGTAGCTTCCCACCTCTGCACTGAACTGACCAGATGTATCTTATGACAGAGTAGGGGTGAATGTTCTTTTCTGGTATGTTGCTGCTCCTCTAAAATGTGCAGTGTTATCATTACTTTTTTTTTCTTTAATTCAACACTGGATATATAAGAGAATGGCGGAAAAGTGTGCTGGTCACTTTTATTGTATTTTAATGGATGTTTCTTGGCATACATTATCTGGATACAGCACTGGTGAGCCTTTTGGTGTATAACTTGCCAGATGTTTCTCACGGTAGCAGATTTCCAGCTGTGTTGCTTGTTAGCCAAGGAGTCCTGTCTGGTAGCCATTTTTTATCTCATTTCTCTTGTGGTATAATAACAGAACAATAGATGTGCATGGTTTACTAGTTTGACTGTCATTTTGTTGGAAATACCTATTTTGTTCTTGCCTGTAGCTTTATTTTAAAAGCTACAGGCTTTTTGAAGCTATTGCAGAAACTGTTGCAAGCATTTTAAGTACAGTATACAAAACCTATTTTAAGTGTATGGCCCAGAGATTGCAACCTTTTAATTAAAAACAAAATCATGTTTGTCCGTTGAATGATACACTGTGGACAGGAGGATTGAGTGGGATGAAATGTTGGAGAGTTTGGTCTGGACTTTTCATATTTAAATTGTTTTTTTAAAGTCATGGGGAGGAGGAGCACGTTGTCCCAGGACTATAGCGTTGGGTGAGAGGAGAGTGCAACTTACCTATAACACAAGTTGCTATCCTCTGAAGAATTACCTGGAAGCAAGCACTGTTGGCCACAGTGGGACTTCTGAATCAGCAGACACAAGCTGCAGGGTCTGTTTCTGATAATAGATAAACAGCAGCTTTGTGGGAGATTGGTGACGAACATATGGGAAAGAATTCACCTCTCTTTCCCCAGTTCCCAAGGCCTGCTCCAGTTTCCTTATAGCTGTTTCTAGCAACATGTCTTGAAAAAAGACGAGAAACCTAAACTTTCCTATATTTCATTGTGCAAGGCCTTGAACTGCTGGCTGTAGAATCACAGGATTAGCACAGGACCATACAATTTGACATGGAAAAATTTAGTTAACTTGGTTAAGAGCTCCAATGCAGCAGATGAGGTTGCACGTCACTCACTGCATATTCTGTTCCTCCCTGATCATCTACCTTCTCTCTCCTCAATGCTTTGGGGTGAAACTGGACTCCAGCCTACTAGAGCAAAGTGGAGGGCCAATCTGCAGGGAAGGGTGCAGGAAGCATAGAGGTGGAATTGTGATACTCTGGGACCTTTCTAGCCACATTTCCTGGTCTGGCTTCTCCTTTCACAGTCTGAGTGTATACATGGTTCTCCAGACATCCATGAGAAATCGGTAGAAGATTGCTGCTTTGGTGGCAAATTTTTGTCATCCTACTTTTCTCAGTCTAGGGCTCCAGCATAATCTTAAGGGGGCTGCTACAATCCACAGAGAGGATTCTTCCTTTAACACTGAAAGATATAATGGAAATGTAACATGAAATAGTGAGTGTGTGTTGCTAGATAAGACTTTTTGGTGCCATTATCCTGCCTCATTTGTGGAATTTTTCAAAGACAATTAAGATAACATTGCCTTAACAGTTTTAATTCTCACGTATTTCTTCACTATTCTTTCCATGTTCCCCACCCTACACACTTACCTTAAAAATCTGTGAAGGAGAGAAAACAGAGTAATTGCTCAGTGCCTTTTGATTGTTATGTCACGAAGCTGTCTAACCCCACCTAAAAAGAATTATTTTGCAACATTTGATGGATTGAGGTCCCATTGTGCAAGGCCTGCCCTACCGTTAGGCAGAGTGAGGCAACCACCTCTAGTGACGGATGCTATGTATATGGGGTGGGGATGGGGTGGAGTGGGGAGCAATAATACCAGCTTTCTAGCATTTTTCATTAATTTTCATTTCCCTTCTGTATATGGCACAAAACCTGTCTTAGATCCCATAAACTAATCTGCTAAACTACATTTGATGGGAAATGTCTTCCACTGCCAGTGGCAAAGTAGGATTCAGTTGTCTGGTGTATGTACTTAGACTGGGGAGTGGGCACCCCTTTGTTCTTCATCTCAGATAGCAAAATGTCACAGCTCTGTCCTGCCATTGTGCCCACAGATTCTTCCTACAAAGGGCCCAGAATGTTAAAAAGCAAACAAATAAACACTCCCTCCAGTGTTCAACATACCATATTTTTCCATGTATAAGACACCCCCTTGTATAAGACGACCCCCACTTTTCTAATTCAAAATTAAGAAATCTAAGTGGGGGTTAGGAAGTGTAGGGGGAAAGGGATAAAAGCTCTGCAGAATCGCTTTGATCCCTGCTTCCCCTCCACTTGTTTTTGTTCTCTCCTCAGCTTACTTCCATGCATAAGACGACCCTCAATTTTTGGTCTAAAGATTTTAGACAAAAGTATAGTTGTATAGATGGAAAAATACTAGGTTGCTACGGCAACAATCTTTAAATTAATTTTGAAATTCCAACATTTAAAATTGTAGTATAAAAATCTTATTTGTTATTATTTATACTGTCTTTTAATGATGTAAATCACCTTGAGTCCTTTTTAAGGAGAAAAAGTGGGGTAAAATATTTTAAATAAATAAAAAATAGAATTTGTTTATTTTCCTGGGAAAATTTGTTTTTTAAATAAACAAAAAAAATTGTTTATTTTTTGGGTGTGTGTGTGTTGTATTGCTATCATGTTCAGAAACAGATTTTTTTGTAGGGTCAATGTTGTAAAGGAGCAAATAGAATTTGTTTATTTTCCTGGGATTTTTTGGGGGGGTGTTGCATTGCTATCATGTTCAGAAACAGGCTTTTTTTTGTAGGGTCAATGTTGTAAAGGAGAGTCAGGTTTCAAAATAATTATTATTCCAGCTAATTCTCCCCTTACATTCTTTAAAGAGTTTGCAGGGAGTGTAATCCATGTGATCTGGTCATTTCTGCTCCTTTAATGGTAATCCCACATGCTCTTACGTACTGTCAAGTCACATGTGCTTTAAATGGTGATCCTAATAGGGTTTTCAAGGTATGTGAGATGCTTAAGGAGTAATTTTACTACTGCCATTGTGCCAGCACCATAAGGTGCTATAGTGAGTTTGAATTGCCAAGTGGAGATTTGAACCTGGATCTCTTGAGTCATAGTCTGACACTCTGTGCACTACACCAGTGCATTAATTTTACTACTGCCATTGTGCAGAATTGCCAAGTGGATATTTGAACCTGGATCTCTTGAGTCGTAGTCTGACACTCTGTGCACTACACCAGTGGTCCCCAACCTTGGGCCTCCCGATGTTCTTGGACTTCAACTCCCAGAAATCCTGGCCAGCAGATGTGGTGGTGAAAGCTTCTGGGAGTTGTAGTCCAAGAACATCTGGAGGCCCAAGGTTGGGGACCACTGGTCTACACCACACTGGCCTTCACATGTGGGGAGTTATAAAGTAAATTATCAGGAATAACTTCATGATTTACAAACTAGCATGAGCTGGTATTTTCTCAACCTTCTCATCGATGAGGATTTTCGGGGAAAATATTTGTTACCAAAAGCTCAGATTTCAGATAAATGGTTGTGTCTGTGATTGTAGAGGAAGTTGATTCCCCTAGCTTCCCCAGGAGACCTTGCCTCTAACCTATTGTGCTCCCTAGTTAAGTCAACTGAGGTTGACATGGATGATTCAGTGAAGTCTTGGATCCATCTCCACGTACATCCCACTCATTGTGGAATCCTGTTACCTCTGTCTCTGGACCTGGTATGTGTTTGTTATAGGCTTTGCAATGTGAGAATGCTGAAGACATTCTATTGTTGTTAGAATGTGAGCCTGTGACCCAGACATCTACAATAAAATATCATGTCCTTTGTTAATCATATTGTTATGTTTCTGTATTCTATTACTGCACTACTATGTTTGTTTCTTTATCATCTATTTAAATGTCAAAATTACAGTGAGCCAATAAAAGCTGGCTAGAATCTGTGATCTGTCTTTGTGCTCATACTCCACTGGATAAAGCATGTTCCTTTTCTGTGTGTTGTCTCCATTTTAGCTGATTATTTTAACATATGTTTTAAGACAGGGCTGCATTTTAACAAATGCTTTGAGATGGAGCTATGAGTCTGTCTGAGAGGCACGCATGCTAAGAAAATATGCTCAAAAGAAACAACTAATCATTATGCAAATAATATCTAGACCCATTGTGGTTTCCTTCCATCATGGCTAAATATTTTGTATAAACCCAAACAGTTTTCAGCACAATAAATGTTCATTTATTTCTCATCTGTTGTGTATGATTCACGTAGGATTGGGAGTAATGTGATGTTTCTTTTGCAAAAGCATTTTATTTACTGAGCTATATTTTAAATCTGGAAGATTATACTTGTCTGGGGAGTGCCAAAATTGCTATCAGGGCTAACTGGTGCAATATGATCTACTTCAATCTCACAAGTACCTGCTAGATATTTCCCTAGCAATCATACTAGATCATGCATACATCCACATGCAAACTTATCCCATTTCCTGAACTCTTTCTTCCCCCTCTCCTTTTAAAAAATATTACTTTTATTTGGGATTGTGCAGCTTCCAATAAACTATCTCATTTATACCACCTAAAATGGAGTGCATGTGCTGTCTTGTACTCTTCATCTCTGGATGTTATGAATGGGATGGTTTATTGGAAGCTGTGCTGAGGCACTCAGTAGTGGAAAAAGACCCCCTCCAACATAATAAATGGAGCTCTCAAATGCACTGAGAACATCCATTTTGCTGATTTAGAGTAACTGCAAGAGTCTCTACCAAACCAGGGGAGCACAGCTCTTACAAACCTTTGGACAATTTTTTTCTCAATGATTTGGATGATGATTTCTAATCAGCTCTTTCTAATTTTCAGGCACCTGCTGAGAGAAAATGGCCCTTGCTGAAGAAGGGGTCAGTGGTAGGCAAATACCTAGTGGAGGACAAGCCAGTCAAACGGTTAGATTGGTTGTGTTGTGTTCGTGTTCTTCCACTATGTGGTGTCAGTCCACAGTTGTACAACTGATCTGTCCAGTCAGACTGTTATCTCCATTTCACTCCTTGAACTAAACTGATGTTGGGCACTAACTCTTGGTTGGTTGTTCCTTGTTAAGCAGGACAGTCTATGACAGATGGGGCACTGGTGGTGGCATGGACAGGTTAGGTGAGCCGTGGAGTCTTGTTTTGATCACAAAGTGTTATATCCAGCACACGGGTACACTCCATTGCTTCCTGTTATTAGAAGAAGAAGATAAGACTTCTGTATCTTTCTTAGTTGTATAGGAGAGGGATGTTCTGTAGGTGTGCCTATAACATGATCTTGGGAAAATGAGGGAAGAAGTAAGAGGATAGACCTGGAATTACATACAAACACCATATCATTTAAAACTTGTTGCACAAGATGTTTGTGGCCCATGGCAGCTCCCTTTGGGATTGTGCCTGAAGGAGCAAAGATAATCTATAAGTGTGGCTAGAGAGGGAACTTCGGTAATCAAGATGGCTGGCCAGAACTCACAGGAATTGCTGCAGTTGTGGTGATGGCTAACACTATCAAGCTGGCCTAAGATGTTTCACAACCTGAAATGAGAAATGGGATGGTGGAAGCTATGAATGGCATGCTTCCACCCCACAGGTCAGCATGAATAGTAGTCAAATCCAGATAACTTGTTTTGGCAAATGAAGTAGAAAATTCTACAAGCACTTCTCCTTTTCTTAGAAATACAAAGACCATTAATTATGTATTAAGTATTTGCTGCCTCATGACACCCCAAATTGGTTGCCTGAGGAGACTTGTCTCACCTTGCCTAATGATAAAGCTGTCTATATATGTAAAGTGTCTGTTCGGGGGGGGGGGGACCCAGCCCTTGCTTCTTTGAGCCTCACTCAAAGGTGCACAATTCTGAATGCTCCTTGATGGGGGGGGGAGGGAATTGAGCCACAATACCAGCTGCTATACGTTTGTAATGTACAGATGTCTTAAGGAACCCATAGTATGTCTGCTGCTCCTCTTTTCCTCCCCACTTACATTTAAAGTTTTTTTTTCTTTGTTTTGGTGTTCATCAAAATGTTCATGTTACATGGAATCTTGCGGATAAAGTTTCTTTAAATGTTAGTGGTGTTCGCTTTGACCCTTCTGGACGTTTCTTCCTATCATTGGGCTTGGGCACAGGCAGCTTTTTCCTGGAGATTTTCCTCTAGTTCTCCCAGAAGATGATACTTTGGAAGAACCTACACAGAAAAATGGTAAATTCTTCCTCACTGACGTAGCCAGCTTGAAGGAAGGAAGAGGAATTAATTCATCCATGGAGGAACATGCAGTCCCTAGGAGAACTGAGAGGCAGGAAGCAGCACAAACCAGCAGGAAGTCAAGATCTCTGAAGAGCAACACAAACTGGAGCGAAATGATGCACGAGCCAATTGATCATCTTTTGCCTCCAAAAGGGAGACTTATAGGCAATGACCCTGAGGTGAGTCTAGCCATTAGAGTCAATTTCCTAGTCTAATTAATTGATTTTTTTAAACTATTGTTCCCAGAATCATTGGTGGCTTCCTGCTTCTTGTAGTGGCCTGTCCCAAACTCAAGCAGGAGCCCACAGGTACAGTTGGGTTAAAGGCTGAATTTTGTTGAAGTTACAGGACCTTCAAAATTTCTTAAAGCATGTCTTGCTTTGAAGGAAGCTTCAAGGGCAGTTTTGGCTTTGGTTTGAAAACTCCAGCTGCTTAGCTTGTGTCCTCTGAACCTCTGCTTGAGGTTGGAATGGCCTAGTACATCAGATACTAATGTGTGGTGGGTATTTCTCTCTAACAACATCTGAAGAGCCTTACATTCTCCAACCGGTTGTAGATTGTTAATGCCAATGGCAATTATATTTCCTGTTTATTACTGGCATTTCTCACTGGAATTTTGATCTAAATACAAGAAAACTACCAGCAGAACTTTCTAGAGCTTCCATTTGTTTACCTGCTCAATCTGTTTGACCTAACATTATAAAGTTAGTAGGTGTTTTCTGAAACGGTAATGAATGTTTATTTTGCAACAGCTGATGAAGAATGAGAATGGTTTCAGGGATCCTGAACGTAATAGCCCTTCTTTATAAACCTTTTCTAAAACTTCCCATTTCTGGATTGCTATTTCTGATTTCAGACAAATGAACAAATTGGTTCTTCTCCTGGTCGGGTGTTCAAAGTGGTGTTTCTTGGTAACTCTGGAGTTGGCAAGAGCTCCTTCATCCATCGCTTTTGCTATAATAGATTCCTTGCTGAGATCAACTCCACCATTGGTAAATGAAAGATCTCCAAAATATTGAAGCAAAGGATAGCAGGGTGTGGAGGTAATCTCCAGAGGTTGTTTTAGAAGTAGCTTTATTTATTTCCAGCAAAAGGGAACAGCAAAAAGCAATGCCCAGGTATTCCAAGTGTAAGGCATTTTTATAGCCATTTGTCTACTTATGCACATTTAGGTTGTTTACTTTTAGAGAAAAGTAAAGGCCATTCATGCTCATGGTCAATTCAGTTCTTGTTAAATTTTGTGATTTCTTTATATTGACTCTCCAAACGCCTTCAACTGCCCCAATTCACTTTCCCCTTATACATTTCACATAATTTACAGTTGCTTCTGCAGCTGATAGCTGCCCAAGTTAATTTTTCTTACCCAAGGGACGTTTTGAAGATTTTAAATTATCCTTATGCAACTTGTTCGATATATTCAGAACAGAAATACCTAGGACTACTTATCCCATTTACTGTGTCAGAATAAACTTGGGCGATTTTAGTCTTCAGTATATCACGCTACGTATACCTTGCTTGAACAAAGGTTACTGAATGTTATTGTTATAGCTAGCATGTTAGTATTGGTATTCCTTTGAAAATTAGTCCATTAATGTTAACATTAGTTTATCTTAATCAATTGTAAATGTTAACAATACTTTTTAAAAAGAGTCTCTTTTCAAAACACTGACAACTACCCTCCAAAAGCAATTGTATAAAGGAACATGAAACATAATGTTACTTTTAATTATTTTAATGCTGACAGCACTAAAAGTATAATGAATTTTAGGTAAGAAATTAATTCTGTGACCCAGCTGGGAAGCAGACATGGTGGCTACATGCTATATTGTTATGTTAAATCTTCTTACTGACCAGTTTGAACTGCCATAATAGATTAGATGTCCTAAGTGCTCTCTGAACAGACAAGATGTTAGTCCTCAACCTAACTGATGTTTTCTTTCACTCTGTGCAAATTATTAAGAGCTTTTTTTAAAAACCAAGCAGCCTTACTGCTGTAAATGGTTTTATGTAGCATTTTTCATATGTGATTTGGCTTTCCAGTCCCTTGTGTGTTGTCCTCAAGACAAGCCCCCAAGATAATTGGCTATTTTCTGCATCTTACTAATGAGAACGGAGGCTAAAAAAATCTGATTGCCTGAAGCAAGCAAAGTGTATTAATATCAAATCAAAGGACAATGCTCTGTCCTCTGGGCCTGGATTCATCCTGAAATCAATGTTTCCTCTTTGTTCTCCTTCCAGGCATTGATTACCAGGTGAAGAGTTTGGTGGTTGACAACACACAAGTGGTTTTGCAGCTATGGGATACTGCAGGGCAGGAAAGGTAAAATGATTTTGTTCTATCTGGTTCAAAGTGTCCTAAAGGCACATAATGGCCAAAATCCTTTTGCACAGCTAAGCTGACAGAATACCAACGGTATAACTTCTGTAGGCAAATTGCCTCCACTTAAGAAATAACCACAGACAAGTACCTATTGTTCTCTAAGCTACATGACAGCAGCTTAGAGAACAGCAGATAATATCTATAGTGATTCCTTAGCTTGAGGAAATTTGCCTCCAACCATTACGCCATCTGGTTATGCTGGTATAACTGTGCAAGAGGATTATCTTCAGTGATAGTGAAGATAAAAAAACAGGCCGCAGTCATCTTCCCAGTTGCCAGATCTTTTTTAAAGTCTAGTGAGGCAAATGGTTAGTGTAACATCACATGGCCTAGTACTCTTCCCACACAGAAGACTCTGGAATATGTGGCCACTTCACACATCAGGATGAAGGAGGAGGATGTGCGATCCAAGCCCTGGAGCTAGACTCAAAGAGTTGCCAGTGTGAGTCTGTTCCCTGTGACTTGTGTGCACAGAGATCCCAGCCTCAGACGGATTTCAGGCTCAGGGGGTCTGTGTTTACCCCAGTGATGCTTGGATCTGGTGTCTCCTTTGCTGGCACTACTGACTCTTCAAGTTCTAAGTCTAGGTCCAAGCATTTCACCTTTTAATTGTTATTATTTATTGGTATATTAATAATACAGTCATTTTTATATTCCTCTAGTCATCATAAAAGAATCCCAGAGAGGACATAAAATGCAGTGTATTCCAATTAAAATTCAGTTACAATACACTACAGCCAGTCAGTATCGGATATCGTCTACATTGCCCTTCAACTCTTCTGCTCTGAGATGTCAGCCTACCTTTCATTAACACTAATCTGACTTCTGAGATGAGAACAGAGGATTCTATAGCCTGGATGCCACCACCAAGAAACCCCTAATATGAGTTCCAGTTATCTGGATTCTATGTCATGATGATATCACCATCATGACACAGGAGTGGGAGGACAATAGACGGAGAGATAGTATTTTCAGTGCATGTACATTTTAAATGGAAGAAAATATGTATATAATGAATATATTTGTTAACTTTTAGGCTATATACTGCATTGCAAGGCTTTATGGTGAGTCATCAAAGGTTGTTTTGACCCAGGCAGATATGAGTAAACCAAGAAGAAAAACAACATCGATATATGAGAGTTGATGCTAAATGTCAAAAACAGAACCATATTTTAATTATTACTATTACTGAGGCCTCTTTTTGAAAACATATTTTCTCCAACTCATTTTAACAGAAAGTCATCTCCCTGTAAGGTGAACAAGGCCCTTCCTGTTAGTATTGCCTCTTCTGTCTTCCTGGGTTAAACAGTGCTTTATAAACCTATCCTAGTATTGGTAGGACCTCCACAAATGAGGCGTCTACTGAAAAGCCTAGGGGTTGAGTGATGCTGGGAGTTGTAGTCAAAACAGGTGATGCTTCCAAGCTCTGATGATGATAATGATAATGATAATGATAATGATAATGATAATGATGATGATGATAATGATAATGATGATGATGATGATAATAATAATAATAATAATAATAATAACAAGGGGGTGGGGGATGCATGTGACATTTCCAAGCCATGTGGGACAACACTATTTCCCAGTGGGTGGTCTCACAGCAACAGGATGTAGGCAAGTGACTCTGCAAAGGTTTTACAGAACCAGAGCTTGGGAAAGTTAGTGTGTTTTAACAATGACTCTCAGCATCCCCTAGCCAGCTTGGCCATCTGACCTGCTAATAGGTGGATTCTGGGAGTTGGAGTCGAACGTACGTTTTCCAAATGGTAACACAATAACACCTGCTGAAGTAGCAGCAAACCTTTATTCTAGTTACAGGAAAACAAGGTTAGATTCTTTGTCTCTTCACCCCAGTATTGTTCAATTTGACTCACAGCGGCTTCCTGGGATGTCACGTAGTAGACTGCTTCCTGAGCTTTTAAAAAAAACAGAAATGCCAAAACTGAATCTGGGTCTTCCTGCCTCCAAAGCCTCTGTTACGCCCAGAGAGTGATGGCCCCTCTGTCTGTGATACTTCCAGCTTGGGCATGACGATCATCTCAGGTCTCATGGAGCTGTTTTCTTGATTTTTTTCCAAAGGGCCCACCTGGTGTTTATTTATTTTAATAGCTGTATTTTTAAATAGATAACGTTTCTCCCAAAGTGCTCAAGGTGACTTGCTCACCTTCCTGACTTTGTATTCCCAACAACTGCAAAATGAATACCCAGCTCACGGGACTGGGAGGGGGGTGGAGGCAATGTGTAGCCTGCATAATTAATGTGTAAACTGCCCGAAGAATGTTTTAAGCGCTATGGGGTGACATATAAGCAACACTTACCCAAGATCACTCTATAAGTTTTATGAGTCAGTGAGGATTAAACCCAACACTCTTATCACTACATCACACTGCCTCACAGGGGAATCTGCCCCATACATCATTTTATGAATGGAGACAGCGATTAGACTTGATAACTGCATGCTACAAACAGTATGAAAACTCTGCGGAACATTGTTATTTTATTAATATGTTCATGGTTCTTGGGTTTTTCTTGGCATTAGGTTCCGGAGTCTCACCAAGCAGTATTTCCGAAAAGTAGATGGCATCCTCGTTATGTATGACATCACGGCTGAGGGTTCCTTCATGGCGGTCCGAAATTGGATGGCATGTGTTCAGGTTAGAAGAGAGTGCAATGAGATGCAGATGTTCTGATGCTTGTGAAACCATAATATCCTTGTTTTGGTCCTGCAGCCTTTGCAAATGGGCTCTGCTTGTAGGTGGGTGAGCCAAACTCTAGCCTATCAGAGATGGAAAAGAGGACCCCGAGAGGTGTGGAGCATTGTCATCAGTGTAGTGGCAAGACTGGAAAACTGGTCTGCAGTGATGTAGTGGCAGGATGAGCATTCTCTGGTGACCTCCCCACAGCAGGACAACAAAGGAAAATGCTGAGAGTCAGAAATGTTGTAGGGCTTTAGGGTGGAGGTAGCATATCACCCTCTCCAGAATAAAGCAGAGGAGGTGTCCTCAAAGACTCTGCACCACAGAAGAGGAGAGGAAGGAAGCGGACACTAGAAAAAAGAGTTCCCTTTGAGATGAGCTGTATCTGTTTGGCAGATGACTCAACTCCACTAGTCTTTGAGTCAAGTATTGGTTTAATTTTATTTTGGTCACTTGATTGATTAGACTCCTCTTTTGAAGAAAACGTTGATTGCTGATCTTTCCTCTCCCTCAACCTTTTTACTTTGCTGCTCTGTTAGAAGAGGTAAACTTCTCAGATAATCAGGTTCCTATGAGCACAAATCAAATTGATTTTCCTGAGTTCCCATTTCTCCTTGTTTGAGAACCTTGGTGAACCACCGTTTGAAGCCAATGTGTTCTAACACCTTTTATATATATGTCCCCTAACCTTAGTTTGGGACAGAGTGAAGCTCCCCATTAACCCCCTTGTCCTAAAACATGAGAACAAGCTGCTTTGGCACAACATCTTGCAGCTTTATTCTTGTTGTATAGGAGGGGATTGAAGATGGTGCAGCGGTGTTTCTGCTTGGAAACAAGTTGGATACAATGGACAAAGAGGAACCCATAATACCCAGGGCTGAAGGGGAAAAGCTGGCAAAGGTACGGTTCTCATGTCATCACTGTAGTGAAATTAAGACTGATAGTATATATTTTAAACACCGACTAGACATCATGTTGCTTGCTTATTCATGTTATTTTATTTTTATCCCACTTTTTTCCTCATCAGAGTGGAGTCTTGACAACTAATAATAACAAGAATAAAATAGGTAGATTTTTAAAAACATAAAACAGATTAATTAAAATAATTGCTGTTAAAAGCAATTTAAAGAATATTAAAAACTTGTGTAACAGCAGTTTAAAAACCATCATCCATCTGGACTAATAATAATAAAAGTTAGGTGCCATCAAATTGATTCTGAATTATGGCAGCCTATTCCTAAGCACTGAACATGCATCAGCCAACAGATGGTTTACATTAGTTAATTATGCTGCCTATTACCAGGATTTTCATGTAATCAACACTTTAAAAGTTCATTACTATACTATTGTTACTTTGCAAATTATTGCATGCATCTGTATCCCTTTTCACTTATTTTCTACTCTCATAATCATAGTATTTGTGCTGTGTATAAAAACTTGTGTAAATGTTGTACTCCATGACTGAAATCCTGTTACTTAGTGTAGTAACATGCAGTAGAGTAGACCTATTGAATCAGTGAAGAATAGATGAATCAACTCCTCTGTTCCATTGATTCCAATGGGTCTACTCTTGTATCAGAAGTAGATTTTAAATCACAAAATCTCATGCTAAAATAAATAAATATGCTTCTACTCAAAAGATGCCACAATATTTTTGTATTTGTATTTGTTTTGGTTATACAAAACAATGGCATGCTCTGGTCAATGGGGTCACAAAGAGTCGGACATGACTAAACGACTAAACAGCAACAACAACAATACAAAACAATGTTTTTAATTATGGAGGGCTTCTTCAGCATGAAGGTTGTTTCAGCATGCAAAACCAAAACAAATACAAATTTAAAAAATTGTGGCACCTTTTGACTAACAGGATCAGCCCATCTCCCATCGCCTGCAGTTCTTCTAGAAACACAAAAGTTGCCCTTCATGAATAGATGTTTCACTTTACTGATTCTCAAAGAGCACCGCTGTTGGGCTGTTTCAGTGTGCTGTTTGGCTGATTATGACTTTCCTCTCTCTTTTTTTACAGGAATACAAGGCTGTTTTCTATGAGTGCAGTGCAAGGACAGGTTTTAACATTCTGGAGCCTATGCTGCACATGGCCAGGTGTGTTGCAACCGTCCACCATTTAAAAAGGAACAGAAACCCTGCTTCCCCAGCCAGTTGTAGCAAAATGTCCTAAATCTAGACCAATATTAAGAGGGCAATTGGCAGTATTTAGAGGTGATGTGAATCCTCATAGGGTGCCTCTATTCAAAGAATAAGGATCCCTAGGCATGGATGTTCATGTGATCATTTCCTTCCTCTGTGTTTGACATAGCCTAATGTATTTGGAGAGGACTGCCACACCCTGTCAGTGACAGAAATTGCATCTGTTTGACTCTACTTCCCATCAATCCTTAAAATCATTTATGGTGGCTTGGACTGTTAGGAGTTGTAGTTCACCACCATTTGGAGGGGCAGATGTTCCCCACCCCTGCAGCAAATGGGAGCTAAATTTGTACTTCCCCATTTAAGCAGAATTTAGAACTAATATTGTCCAAATTGATGTATTGATACTATTGTGTTAAAGACTTTGAGATGCTGCGGTGCCACACCAAGTCCCCATGAGATAGCATGCGAGTACTGTCTTTCAGTATTTGGGGTATGAGAAGACAAGGTTTATGATCATTAGCCATTTTTTAAAGAAACGAGTTGGGTTTAAAGTGATGCGCAGCCCAAGATTTACACATCTATTCTCGGAGGTAAATCCACCTGAGTTCAGATGTCTGAAGAACTGGACTTGTTCACAAAAGCTTATAGTAAAATACAGTCTTTAAGGTGCCACATTTTTGTCGTCTTTATTTTTATTTTATTTATTTATTTGCATGACTTGCAGCAATTGATGGCTAAAGCACATATTTGAGCATCTTCCTGATCTACAAACTTTAAATCAAAGGGCTTTTCTTTTTCATGTATATAAATATGCAAAAGATACACCCTTTGATTTCAAGATGATACTGTCATATTCACATTAGCAAATCAGAATGCTGAAATATTCACCTTAGGCTACATGGAATGAGCAGAAAGTTACATTTGTGTTCTGAACTGTGAGAGAGTTCAAATGCAGCATGCACCTTTCATTCTAACATTGTGGCTGAAATCCTCTTTGTCCTCCACCCCAACACTTAATCTTCTGTCCCCTTCTTTTCTGATGCTGACCTACCATGTGTTTGTTCCAGACTGCTGGCAGCACATGAGGACAAGCAGAGACAGTGGGCATCATTGCACATGGAGGAATCCAACAAGAAAAAAGGATGCTGTTTGTAGCAGACGGTCATTCAAGAATACATCAGAAAATAAAAAAAGAGACCAAGAAACAGACAGAAAAGGCCATCTGTGATCAAGATTAAGACCGCTGCTGGTGTCACTGTTGAAACTGGAAGAAAATTCAAGTTCTTTCTTCTCAAAAAAACGAGTGACGTGACATGATTCAAAGCTGCAAATCACCCATGTGTTTGCTGCCTTGCTCCTGATGTTAGGCTGAATTGTAACTCAGGAACATAGCATTTATCATTTTCTCTGTAAAACAAAATGTTTGTTTAACAAGGTTGTACAAATATGCTCACCAGCACCAGGAAATATAAATGGCCAAACGATTACACTGGATTCATTTAATAATAAAGAGATCAAATTATTGCAAACCAGCACCCATTTATTTATTTATATGAGTCCAAGGAACTGTTTTACATTGGCTTGGGTTACAGGGCTGCCGATTCAGCCTGGATCTGCCTACTCTGACCGCAAGAGCTCTGCAAGGTCTCAGGCAGAGCCAGATATGCTACATGTCCAAAGATAATCTGCTGCTTAAAGCAGAGCCCATACAGTGAGCTTAATAGTGCAGCCAAGGCTTTTCAAAATGTTAGTCCTGGCATTTGGAGAGAGAGGCTGCATGATTAAGACATCCATTCTGGCTCATTATCCAGTCAGTCATCACCTCTTAGTGCCACCTGCAATAGATCTTTTCAGCCATCTGCAGGGCAGGGGTGGTCACATCACTGTATCCTTTTCAAGGCAAATGCCTGCAATGATTTTAGGGCCTTCTGCCTGAAAAGCCTCTACTTTTCTACCCCTGTGCTATGGGTTCTCTTCAAGGACATATCAGAAGCAGCAAGGCAGGCCCTCAAAAGCCATGCCCAGTGTTTCAGTAAGCAAACATATCCAGCTTCTTAATTGTTTGTTTTCATTTTGAAGAAAACAATGGAGCATCTTTGAAAGGTATCCCATAGCTATTTTTACATCAAACTAATCAGTTGAAGCATAATTAATTTACTTCTTTAAAATGGCCAAAAGCTTTGCCCAAAATTTAGTTAAGTTTGACTATGTGTTCGGGGCAACCATGCAAGTAGTTTTTTGTTTGTCTGTTTGTTTTGCATTTGTCACTTGTCTGGCATGTTGTTTGCACAACCAGAGTCTCTAACTGAGTATACAACCAATAGTAGGCACAATTGTTAGCACTGATTGTGCAATTCCCAGTCCACGGGAATCCAACAGAATTCTGGCCCTTGCTTATCACAGCAAGTGGATTAGCTGTGAGTCTTGCACTACAGACATATGCATTAACATGCCATTTGTTTTAAATATGCCTTGCAGACTTTGTCCCAATGAGAAGTACTTCCAGATGAAAGGATTCTAGTGGTATGAGCTGAAAGGCCTTGTGTAGTGATTACTTCCTTTTGGAGGGGTGGGGGAGGAAAGAAGAAGCAGTATGAAAACACTGGAGGGTAACAAAACAGAAAACTGCATTTTCTGTTATGGAGACCCCCTAAATTCCATGTATGGAGGAAGGCTAAGGAGCAATTAAAGCCTCACCTCAAAGCATCCGGAGTTAGGATTTAGTCAGCAGGAGTTAAACTCTATGGTTACAATTTTCAGATGAGGACCAGTTCCACTTTCAGATGTGAAATGCAAGCTGAAGCTTGATCTATACGCTGTGCTTTAGTACAGATACTAGAAAAAATGTGTTCAGTCAAGTAGACCTTTTATCTGAATGTCTGCTTCTCTGTGTCTCATTACATTTTTTCCTGCAAAACTTGAAACATCAGTCTCGGCTTGATGACAAGGATGAAGAATAGCCAGAGACCAACATCCCTGGGCATTTCTGACATGAACAATTTAATATCAAAGGGGGCAGTCATTTCAGAGGACTGCCAATGGCAAAGTTATAGGTCATGTATCATTCCCATTCACTTCAAAGGCGCTAGCCCACTGACCAAAGAGCCTTTAGTTGTATGACAAAAGGCTGAATCAATATACAGAAGAAAACCATTTATCGCCCGCTGAGGTCTGAGAATCCAACATCTGAACATTGCCCTAGGGAACATACAGAACTTATAGACCTCTAGGGAAAAATCAGAAGCCTGTGTTTATCACTGCTGGCATTGAACCCAAAAATGAGTTAATTTCAGAATGAAATCAGACAGTCTTTCCCAATCATATCAATTTTCATCTGGGTATAAAAATATGAGTCTCTTCATTGTTGCAATAATTCGAGGCAACATCAACTTGTCTATTTCTACAAGCTTTATTCACTTACCTTGCTTCTCTGTTCCATAATCACAAAAATATTTCAAAGTTTGAAAACATCAAAAACTCTTACAGCTACGGAAAAACTGTAGGCACAAATGCTTGAAAAAATATATAAAAGCTAAATTTAAGTTGCATGCAAATACTTGAGTCAGAATTCAATCCAAAGTGCAAGAGCATGTATTTTAAGAGTAAAAAGAATAATCAGAATGTTTCAACTACATTCTAAAAACTGCCTCCTTCCATATGAGCCTACCCGGCAGTTAAGATCTAGCCAGGGTGCTTTTTTGAAAAAGCCACCCCTCAAGGAGGTAAGAGGGATGACTTGTAGATAAAAGGGCTTTTCGGCAGCTGCCTCCAGACTATGGAACGCCATCTAAACTGAAATTCATCTGGCATGACGTTGATGACATTTCAGCACCAGGTCAAAACCTTCCTGTTCCAAAACCTTCCTGTTCCAGAAGGCTTTTAATTTATTATACGTAAACCGCCCAGAGTAGAAACGTTCTAGATTGGTGGTATATTAATTAATTAATTAATTAATTAATTAATTGAATGAATGAATGAATGAATGAATGAATAAATAAATAAATAAATAAATAAATAAATAAATAAATAAATAAATAAATAAATAAATAAATAAATAAATAAATAAATAAAATGCAAGAGCTCACAGCTAAAAAAGGCACATTCATAAAGAAAATAACACACCTCTAAATTATCTAAGGCAGGGGTGTCCAACCTTTCACCTTCCCTGGGCCACATTAGAAGATGAAAATTTGGTTTGGGCCACACATAAATTTGTTTTGGGCCGCATGGGGGTGCCAGCCCTAGTCGTCCTCTGCAGCCCCGCTCCAAGCGCGCTTACCGGCAGCTGCGATCTCAGACAGCAGAGGCTGCCAGCTTCGACTCCGGCGGCTTTATGGGGCCGGGAGGGGGTCCACCTATTGACGGTGATGGCGCAATGCCCCCCTCTCTCCTCTCCTCCTGCTCCTTCCTTCCTTCCTTCCCTCTCCCCCCCCCACCATTGTGACATGCCCCAGCCGCATTCCGGCCGCAAGTGCTGGCAGTGTAACTTGAAACTTTGGAATTTTTTTAAAAATAAAAAATTGCACTGGGCCGCATTATGAGCCGACCTGGGCCGCATGCGGCCCTTGGGCCGCAGGTTGGACAAGCCTGATCTAAGGCCTTAAAAGTAAGAATTTATTTTTCTTAATGATTTTCTTAGCCTTTATGTATGCTACTGCTGCTGCTGCTGCTATGAGCCACCAATTCTTAGAGACCTTTTTCAGGGCCTTCCAGGTAAAGAGTACTCATAAGCGGTTTACCATTCCCTTCTACTGGGAGCATCTTGAAACCATGCATCTTGCCCAAGGCCTCACCAGCTGGCTGTACTTGCAGAAGGCTGAATGGAGAATTTAACTCCCAGCCTCTGACTCCATGGCCAGATACCTAAACTACTGAGCCAACTAAGTGTATTACTAGACACACAGAAAATGATTCTAAGTACTCACGCAGCCAAACCAGTGTGAATTTATGGAAGAAAAGCCATGTCTGCTGTGGCTGCCGCTGTTACATGATGCTGTTCTTTGGTATCTGTGTTCTGGTGTCTGGTGTGTGTGTGTGTTGTGGAGTTTCATTGTTTTGTAACATTATGTTGAAGAAAGGAATATAACATTTTATTTTTTATTTTTTTAAAGGTAAGGTGTATAGACTCTCCCTTATATTGTATAAATGTCTGCATACCTTGGCATCACATCCATGTAGCTACGAAGATGTAAGTCGGCTGAACCTTGTTAGTCTTTGAGGCATCGCAAGACACTTCAGTCTTTTTTACTGCATCATGTTCATGATTAGCACAGCCACCCTGTGGACATTTCAGCAAGGGCAAGGGGTGCTTTTTTGCTTTCCCATTGAATCCACTGCATTCCTGGATTCAGAGCCCACAGCCCCATCTACTGGTGCAGCAATAGCCCACCCTCAGATGTACATTGACGCTCAGTCTTTTCGTGATAGCTGTCTGCTGGGACAACATGTAATTCATTTGGTAAAATGACTTTTACTGTAAGTGCATTTCTTTGAAGTATTGTTACCATTGAGAAGATTTATGTCCTGCCTCTTATCCTGATTCATGAGGCAGCTAATGGCATAAAATCACAATTTAAAAAACAGTAATTAAAACAAGCTAGCCTTTTTGCTATTGGTATTTCTACCCAGACTGAACACATATATCCTGTCCTGAGATCTTTTGATTCGTTCATTCGTTTAGTCGTTTAGTCGTGTCCCACTCTTTGTGACCCCATGGACCAGAGCACGCCAGGCCCTCCTGTCTTCCACTGCCTCCCGGAGTTGTGTCAAATTCATGCTGGTTGCTTCAAAGACACTGTCCAACCATCTCATCCTCTGTCGTCCCCTTCTCCTCTTGCCTTCACACTTTCCTAACATCAAGGTCTTTTCATAGTGGGACGTAAATATTTTACTGAATGAAATTAATAATAAATAGATAAAAGATCCAATTTCCTACATATTTGTGTCTTCCTTGCTTCCACATTTGCTATTAATGCAAGTGGCCACCAGGTGGTGGTCTTTTATCTCTAACACTTGCAAGTGTCAGATGTTAGCAAAAGCGGTCAAGTCTTTGCGGACCTTAGTATTTGGCATAAATATATAGAAAGAAGGCACTTGAGATAGCAGTCTTCCAAGCAATTCACCAACATTCCATCATGTTTATGTCATATACTTTACAATTAAGTTGCCTTTAAGACAACGTTTAACACTGGGCACAATGGAGTCACCTCACTTCCCCTGGCAGTACTAACTTGACACACAGACCATTCCAAATTTTACAAAAAGATACCTGCATTTTGCAGTTTTTTTATTTCTGACTTCTGTCGTTTTGTTTATATGATTTTATTCATGTTCTATGCTAGGTAATGAGCAATTGGCTACATAGCCCAGGAGAATGACCATTTTAGGTCTCAATAGGTGAGCGTCATAAACGGGCAGACATTCCATTTTCAGGATTCTGGTCAGTAAAATGGCACAATGGGCCGTAGAAGGG